GAGTCCAGCAGAGGGCTACGAAGATGAGGAGGGGACTGGAGCATCTCTCCAATGAAGAAAGGCTGAGAGAGCTGGGCCTGTTCAGCCTGGAGAAGAGAAGACTGAGGGGGGATCTGATCAATGTGCACAAATATCTGAAGGGAGAGTGTCAAGAGAATGGGACCAGACTCTTCTCTGTGGTGCCCAGCGACGGGACAAGAGGTAACGGGCACAAACTGAACCACAGGAAGTTCCATCTGAACATGAGGAAAAATATCTTTACGGGGAAAGCAACAGAGCCCTGGAGCAAGTTGCCCGGAGATGTTGTGGAGTCTGCTTCTCTGGAGATGTTCAAAACCCGCCTGGACGCGATCCTGTGCAATGTGTTCTAGATGACCCTGCTTGAGCAGGGAAGTTGGGGGGGTGGACTAGATGATCTCCAGAGGTCCCTTCCAACCTTGGTCATTCTGTGACTCTGTGAACTCTCCAACTTGCCTTTCCCACCTTCTTGCCTTTCTTAATCCAACTTTATTTCAGCTCCAGTTCATCTTAGGACTTTTCCATGGAACTCAGAATACTGTTAATAACGTCAGCATTCTGAATAGTAATATTGATGTTGTTAATTATTTCAATATTAATAATATCTATACTCAAAAACTCAGCACAATATGAAATGGCACAATGTATGTCATACTTGGACAAGGATAGTTTTAGTAACTTAGCTTGTGTTGTAACATCAGTGTTAGCTGCCCAATGATTTTGACACTGGGGAGGATTTTAAGATGAATCTCCCATCTCTGTTGGTTATCCAAACTGCTTGATTACTCCTTCTAACTCATCAAGAATTTTGGGGGGGAAATTGACTCTTTCAACAGGACCTGTTAATAACCTGTTAAACCTGGAGTACTAGAGGTTAACATTTAAATACCTAATCTGAATCAAACAAAATGCTTTTATAACTGGATCACCCACATCTCAGGTGAGAGCTCTGGTTACAGAATTATTCTGGTCTTCAGAAAATGATACTGGAAAAGGAAAAATAGCACCTTGAAAAATTTCAGTTTTGTCACAGGACTAAGATATTTTCTTAAGTATTGAATTATTTTGCATGGGTGGGTGAACTGTTTCCCACTGATATTTAAACTCCCAAGTATCAGTACTGAAGTACGCATTAGACAACAACTTCATTACAGAGGACAGAAATTTTGTAATATTCAAGGAGTAAGAAGGGAAGAACTCATTTAAGTGATCTTTTAAATATTTTTTTCCCCAGGAAAGTACTCTGCAAAAGACAAGGCCCATCTATGTAATTCTGTGTGAATGGATTCTATAGGTATCTATCAGTCTGGATGGAGAAAAATAGTTGCCAGGCCAAAGAGAGGAAATGCAAGTGCTAAGAAGCTAGTATGCAACAGTTCACCAAGGACAGACAAGCTCTGGAGACTAGCAGATCTGTTAACTCTGCAAGGACTGATATACTCAGAGTTTATCATGCGGAGAACATGCAGAGTCTGCCTAACCCACACAAGACCACTGGCATGCCTGAATGTGAGCAATGGGCTGTGCGACTCAGACCACATCCAAGAGGTGGCTGCTGTATACAGACAGAGACTGCAGGGTTACATACATACCTGAGGAAACAGAAGACCCTCTGAGGAACTTTGTGAACACCAACTGAGGATCTGCTAGTGCATCAGTATGATCTTCCACTTGTGAGTGCATGGTGGAGCTCCCATCTGTTTTTCCAGCCAGGTAACTATGAGTGAATATGTGAATGAAAACATCAGTGAATATGCTGTAGAATTTTCTGTTATTGGTAATAATGGTTTGATTCTTTTTAAAAAAAATTACAGCTTAATAAATTAAAGATGTTTAGAAATAACGAGGGGAGGAACAGATCACATCCAATCTCCTTTTAGGGAAAAGGGAATTAACAATGCAAATTTCAGCCAAAGTTAGTTGTCTGATTCTGCTTGATGTAGAATATTTATCAGGGTCTACAGCTCTGCACAATGCCTGAGACATGAGTTGCAATAGCCCTAAAATATCTCTCTCTTTTTTTAGGGGACATACAGGCAATTCGTAAGCACTGAGGAAGACTGAAAGAACATAAATACAATCTTGAGGAACGAATTATAGTCTCAGAATCTATGCTGGTGAGATTGCAATAATGCAATGTACACAGTGATTATTGTAGTCATACTTATGCATAAGCTAACTGTAAATAAATTGACTTAAAAAGCAATGCAGCCAGATATGACTGAGTGAATAAATGAATGATTAAAAATCCAATCTAATCTAAATCATATAGTAAACTTTTCAGAGAAAGTCTTGGAGGATTATAAAGAATATAAAACTAACAACAAAGGACAGTTGAGCGAATCCTGTAACCAACTCTGATTATTTAAGTATCCTGTGTTAAAAAATTTGTAGACATTTATTTACACTTACAAGATGGCTGAGGTACCAAAGTTCTGATGTAATAGAAATTAACATATTTAAAAAAAAGAAATGGAAAAAAAAAATCCCAAAATTTTTTAAGACTCAAACTATAGAAGATTTTAAATAGGCAGAGTACACATTTATATCAAACATATATGTATTAGAGGAGCATATGAAAAATCCTGGGGAGGATATTGAATGATAATCAGCATAAGTGACTAATGAAAATTCTACAAGTAGCTTAGTTCTCCTCTCTTAAATCAGTTCATTTGTACAGTGAGCTTCCTAGCTAAGAAAGGTATGTTGCAATCTAGATGTGCGTACTGGGATGGAGTTTCCTAAATCCTGCCTGAGGTCTGCTAACTCCAAATCCACTGTCCTACATTTCTCTAGAAGAAAAGAAAGTGTTTCCTGATCTAGCTGATATGGATTGCAGAAGACAACTGAACATGAAATCACACTTCTGAACTCCCCAGGCAGAGCTGTTAAATCTTTAATCATTTAGATTGTTGGAGAGATAAAACCTAAAGCTACAGCTATAGTTAATTAAAACTTTGCAAAATCTATATGGAAAATGAAGTGCTGCCTACGGAAAGAAAATTAAGCTGAGGAAAGCAGAATTTTCTTTGCACATCTGAAACTAGGAATCTAAGTAATGTTTGAGAGTCTAATATTAATCATTATTATCTTCATACTGAACTCACTAGTGAGCCTCAAGTATTCTTGTGATAGGTGGAGAATCCTGAGACAACTGGATACTTAAGTTCTACCATCGATTGCTGACTAATGTATATGGTTGGGGAGAATACTGGCTTCTGAAGTAATCTTCCTTTGATTGATAACAGCTAATGAGGGATTTGATTTACATCCCTGTGCCAAAGGCCAAAGAGATTTTCTGAATATCCATTATAAAGCTGTCAGTGATAATCAGTATCAATAATTGTATTAATATTTCTAACTCTCTGCCATGGAATGTAGTTCCTTGAGCTTGAAACACACATACAAAAGTTCATTGGATCATTTAACCTTTCAAAAAACTATCTGAACCAACTCCAAGTATGGAACATGCCATAGTTGAGTAGCTAGTATATATTTGTTTAAAATAGGTAATAGACCTGTAACAACAACAACAACTACAATACACATGCAACAGGACAAACTGCTTCTTTTTATAATATCTCCCGGTTGTAATATCTAGTTACAAGAAAGAACATGATCTGATGAATATTGAACTAAACGTGAAACCTGACTACTCTGAAATAGGCCATTTGCTGTGATTCTGGAAGGATTCTCTAATACTGCAGTGTGATGATCAAAAGCAGCTGTTAGATCCAACAACAGAAACAAAATGAATCCCTTCAAATAAGAGAAGGCATATAAATTACTATTTTTTTTTAAAAGCAGTTTCTGTCATCAAAAGAAGGAGCGCCTATGAACTCACTACAGAAATAGGGTTCAAATAGTTCTTCAATTGAACAGTCATTGCTTTTTCAAATTATGCTTGCAATTGCAAAATAATTGCATCCTGTTGTCAGCAATAGGGTGAAAATTAGCATTTATATGCATTGGGACATCAGATTTTGAACTCATAGCATTTATTAGGTTTGAAGGAAGACTAATTCCGTGAATTACAAATGAGACAAAATTTGCTATTACAACTGAGGATGGCCAAGAGACAAGTCCTATTATGGTCTAGATAGTAAAATTTAAAATTAAAGGAAATGGCTGATTTATTTGTTTTCTTTTTTATGCTGAGAAAGCAGTTGCTCTGAATTAATGAGTATATAGGGAAGGTCCAGTTCTGAAGGATCAAACAAGTTTTATTTCCCTGTAGAGTATGAAACAGCTTCAGAAGTTATTGTAGCCTTCCCTCTCTGCATCACTTTGTTTGGGCACCTTTCTCTTTATGCTGAGGTTCTGCAAAGAGGAAGTTAAAAGTATAAGGCAAATATCCATGACTAATACTGACAATGGATAGCTAGGATAAAGAAGCTACTCAGTTAAGCATTAATATGTTCACCACCCCCAATAAATTGCCTGAAGGGAGCTTGCAGGCCTGGTAGTTATGGTTGAGTTGGATGGGTCAACTTCTATTGCTCCTTGGAACAGGCTGATACTCAATGCTGTGATGTTACTGTCTTCTCACTCTGTTTTTCCCTTTAGGTTTTGTACATTTTCATGTCCGTGGTTTTCCTCTTCTATCCTTGAACTGCTAACTATGCCTCTCTCAGCAGTTTTACCTCTCTGCATTTTTTACTTATCTTACATAGCCCTATTCTGTATACTTTCTCACAGCTCTTTCTCACAGCTTGCCAATTTTTACAGGAGTTTAAGTCAAGGTTATACAGCTGGGCCATATCAAAATCAGGTCTAGAATCACATAAAGCTTTACCCTTAGGAAAAGTGTTACAGGTATTATTAGGTGATACAGATATAAACAGGAACCTGAATGAGAGAGGACTGATAATGCTTTCTTACTGAATCAAAATTAGCTGTGATTAGCCGTCAAGGTTCTGGTGGCCCTGACTACTGCATTCTTGTAAGTATGCTTGCACAAGTGCAGCTATATGTATGGAATAAACTGTACATTGCAAGTACAGTAAGTCTAGAGTTACTTCAGGTAAAGCATACAGCTGACCCTATTCTGCTAGAGTATAGTTATAAGCCTGCTTTCCTGCATGCAAAAAACAATGCATCTGAGGTGTATTTAAGGCACACAGAACTGCTATATTGGTACAAACCAAAAGTTGTCTCCAAAGAGATTCTAAAGTATGCACATAAGAGAATGTATAACTGTAGAAAAGATATGTAACAATACTTTGCTTTAATACTTTAGATATATTGCAGGTCAGGGATTTTCTAAGCCAGATTAGTTCCTATAAATCTAGTACGTATCTGTGGCTTTGTTTTCCATTAACTTGTTCAATTTCTCTTTCAATTCATATAAAATCACAGCATCCAAGGCATCCTATGGCAAGGAGTCTTGCCGTTTTACTGTATATTAAGTAAACACACAGAAGCTGTTCTATTAAGTGTTCTACCTGTTCTTTTTCAGGACCCTTCTGTTTCTACAATGTCTTTTTGGAGATGAGGGGGTCAGAACTACACATTGTGTGTGAGATGATGATACTATAGATTCATATTGGCAAGAACATTTAACTAAATGTTCTTGCTTACCCACCTGAGAGGCCTTTTGACTAATGAGTCAAAATCTTGACTTGGAAGGAGTATTGAAATAAGCATAACAGTACAAACTAAGAGCTAAGCCTACATAGAAAAGAATAATCGTATTCAGACCCACCGGAAAATTATAAAAGGTTGACCTTTATCAACTGGTACTAATTCGTAACTGTTTAAGTTAATCCTTATTTACATTTCATCTGAACCCCCACAAAAATTCTGGTGTCTGTTTATCCAGTACAAGGATACCTTGTCTTAAAACAAGAAACATATTCCATTGCAGCTACTATATGTGCTATCCTTAATCCTAAGATAGGGCCCAAATCTTGTTCGACTCAAGCTGCAGATCTGCAGCTTTCTTTAAAAATTTAAGCCAGAATTTAAAGGTCTCTTTTCAAAACAAAAAGACTGTTTTCTGTACAAGAATGTAAAAGTTAGTCTAGAGATCTCTCTTGTTATTCTAATTTCTTCCCTGTTGTTTTCATGTTCCCAGGCTTCTGCATATACCAATTAGTAAAATGAGAAAAATAATTTCAAACTAAGAATTAATTTAGCCATATCCCAGTAAGAAAAAGGTGGATATTAATAAAAGAATTTTTAATGAAAGCAAGTCCTCTGCAGAAATTGAACCTATACCCTTACATAAAACAGTCAGTTACTACAGGGCTACATTAAGCTGGTAGCACAACAGAATCAGGTGTTGTATTAGCCAACAGAGGATGCTCTTTGATCCCTATGAATATAATAAAAATATATTTAGAGGAGTGAAGTAATTAAAATCTTACATGACTCTGGAATACAGACAGAGTGCATTCCCTAGGTCATTCCAAGGACTGTGTGCATGCGAGTTAATGATATTCAGAGGGAATATGGTGAATATCTGCCCCACTGTGACGTAAACACTTGAAAAACACTTGACATTGTTGCTAATGTCAGAGCATTTTTTTCTTTAGAAAAACATTTTTGTCTTAATGATCAATTCAAAGTGTTTTGAGCAAATTTCTTCCTACAATCAATATGAACAGCCTTTATTTCAGAGTTTGAACTTTTGGCATATGTGAGAAATGACATGACAGGTCCAGAGAAAATGAGTATCTGTACTCATAAACATCTAACTGTAAGGCTGAGTGACAGCAACAAAGTTGATCATGTATTTACTCATTCAATAGTTTCTATGAAGTGAATAAAATATACCACCTAAATTCAAACATGTAACTAAACCCCTTTTCATTCTAGGCTTTCCCTGTAATCTATAAAGAAAAAAAGGTGCTTTCTAAGGTGAATGCAGCACTTACTCTTCACCTACCATTCTAGTGACTCTCTAGAAAAGACTAGGCTTCTAATTTAAGTAAGTGCTTCACTTGTGTGGGGGATTAATTCCTTTGTCCTCCTTCCCTGAATGTGTAAAATAAATAAATAATAATGAATAAATAATAAATTAATACAGAACAAAAAAAATTGATGTCAATATCATCAATGCCAGTGAAGTTACTCCAGATCAACACCTAGTTATTAAAATCAGGCTAATCGTACTTCAGTTTTTACTAAGCAACCTCATAGTAAATGAAACATTCACTGCACAGCATTAAACATTAAGGCTTGAATCTAGAGTATCACAAACACATTTGTGTTGATATTTTCTTTAAAAAAACTGTTATCAAGAAATAAACCATGTATTACCCACGTACCAGAATTAAAATCGCAACCTATTCATACCTAATTTATTCAGTTAAAAATACACAGAAAAAATGGTAATATTATGGGTTTAAGCAGTTATTGATGTATATACAGTTTTGTTAATCTTTAAAAAGAACACTTTTTGAAGAGGTCTAGTCTTATCAGCTTAATTTTTTTTTGGTTGTTTGTTGTTTATCAACTTGAAAAAAGACAACATCTTCTTGCAGCAAACTATTGTAATGATAGATATTTGAGTTCTCTTTCTTCCTTCATTTTCCTGTTTTGAACTTTTAACTAATTTGGTAGCTATTGTTCACTACAGCAGTGTAAAAAACAAATTTCTCCCTTCGGATAGGAGCTGTAAATAAGATCCTATAGCTGTTCAGAAATCCAGCATGCCAAGGGTATTGCTATCAAGCATATCAGATATGGAGGCTGTGAAGGCAATTAAAGATAGTACTCCCTTTTTATACGTAACAGAAAAGTAGATACATTATTATTCCTCCAGGCAAAATATTTATGGTTATTATGATGAGGCCAAGAAGACTGGACATAGAATGAGTACAGATTTCTCTGTCTTTAGTGTCATTGAATGTTTTGTCAAAGAGCATGGCATTTTGCAACATACTCCCTCTTTCCGTATGTAAAGCTCTTAGAACAAATAATAAACTTTCATAGCCTATACAAATGTACTGTTTGTATCAGTACATGCAGTCAGCGTCCAGTATAGGTGAGTGGCTCAAAGGGGCTGGCATGAGTAAAAGAATGGACTGAACTGTTCAGAAGAAAAGGGTACATTTCAGATCTTCATAGTGGGCTGGCCTTCATTCTTCGTAGGAATAGTCTTAACTATTTTTCATTTCCTTACAAAAGAGAAGCATAAGCTCATTATTAGGGAAATCAGATGAGGGACAGAAGCTGTTTACACTTGCAAAATCATGATGTTGCAGGAATAAAAGCAAGTAGATGCAGATCATAGGTAATAGGATTAAAAACAAAAACCAAAAACTTGGGACAAGACACTGAAAAAAATGCTGAGAATCTATAAAAATGGAAAAGACATCATCTCAGCAAGGAATAGTCTTGATTTAAGGAAATTTTATAATCAACATCTTGGCAGAGCTCAGAGACACTACAAAGAATATTAGAAAGTGTTAACCACCATCAGTCATGTATTACTAAAATTCCAATTAATATCCCATTGTTCTTTGAACTACCCTTTTTTTCAGTACAAGCTTTTTGCATTAATTTTGGAACGCCTGGGATTAAAATCCGTCTTATGTTTTCTAGTCTCTGCATATGAATCCTCCATCTGAAGGTGAAAGATTCAGGCTGGCGAGTTGTGAGCATGATTACAGATTGCCTATGAACTGTGAGCAGTCACTACACTTTTCTTCAAACCTTCAGATCACAGTTGTTGAGAAGGCTGCATTTCCATCCACCTAGTCTAACACATTGTTCTAGTTAAACTAAATACATTTGTGAAGTTGTCTTACAATTGAAGGATTTTCTCATTTTTTCTTTTATTTTTTGTGAAAGGTGTTTCTTTTTGTGAAAGAGTTTTTGTGTCATATGAGGTATGAGTAGATGAATGAATTTGTTAGAAATATAGCGCAGAAGAGTCTCATGGATAGAATTCAACTGCAGCACACTTCAGATGCCTCAGAGTTAATCATGTGAATGTGAGCTTGTTGATTGAGACTCGCTCTATAGGCAAAGAAATAATGTTTTGGGGGAGATTATCTTGGTTTATTTTAGGCACGTCATAAAAAGACAGGGATTACTCTCTAAAGGTGTGCGGGATTAGACGAGAGCTTAACGCAGATGGCTTAGCTGTAGTTATCTTTCAGATCCCACCTTTCCTGTGCTCTCCCTCTTTTATCAGCAGCCTTTCCATTATATAATTTGTTGTATAATTCTTTGAAAAACAATCAAGTAGTTCTTAGTTCAAGAGTCAATGATTAAATATCCACCTATATTCATAAGGCCAGTCAGAAAAAATTGCACTAATAATCCTTCAAGCAGAGTATGTGCAATTTTAGACTCCGAGAAGGAGATAAAAGGAACTGGTGATAGACAGAAAAATTAAGAAGGCAGATATTCATTTATTTTCATTGTAAATTTTTTTTGTAAATTATTCTGGAATAAAACAGTGATTCATTCCTTTAAAGTACTAGATTTTAAACAAGTGGATGAGACACATGACTGTAATTTGCCCAAGCTCAGGAAGTTTTTTTAATATTTTATAATTTCTTTTTTGTTGTAAACAAAAATTTACAATTTTTGAATTTACAATTAAAATGAAAGGAAACAATAAAGCAAGCCTACCCTAGAAAAGAAATGGAATGAAGTGGCTTGGTCTGAAGTTTTTCAGATGATTAAAAAGCTTTGGGAGAGCTCCGCGCATTTCGTACGCTTCTAGACAGTACTGTAATTTGATTTCCTTCATTGTGTTTGAATGATCAATATTTAGAAAAAGAATACAAAAGGCAATACTTGGTAGATGAACATGGACATACTTCCGTTACAGCACGGATACAATGTCCTTCACTGGTCTTTGTTTCCCCGCCACTAGCTTGTGCAATATGCATGTTTCCTTGACAGAGAGGTATTTGTAACCACATAGCTGTATAGCTTCTCATTCCCACCTGGGAGAGGGCAGATCTGCACTGGTATTCGTGATATTAACACTTACATTCATTCTCTGGAGTGAAGAATACCAGCCAGACACTTGTGTGCTACTTCTATTGCATTGTTTCCAGGCCCATGCTCAATTTATCCACAAAACCGCACAGGAATAGTCTAGTAAGACCTCAGTGGTTTCATCTCATCCCATCTACAACTGCTATTGCATTTCACTGAATAAGTCTCTAAGTAAAACACAACATACATACTATGGGATGCAAAACCAAAGCCTTCTGCAAGGAAAGTAAAAAATATTTGATTATATTTTACCACAGATTATTTTTTGTTCATATCTCACCACCTACAGGGCCAGAAAAATTACTCTGGAAATACTTCTTTTTTTAGCATGCTTAGATTTTCCCAGCTGTGTATGTTATGAGAAGTCATTTCTAAATGTACTGAAACTAGTATGCAGCTTGTGGGCAACTGATTCTTTATTTAAGAGTGTTAACATGTCTGTCACTGTGCTTATGGCTTTTTTGTCTTTTAAAAGAGAAGAAATAGATCTGCTCCACCTGAAAATTGATTTTTTTTTTTTATTTTCTCCTTGTCAGGAAATGATGATTCACTGATGCTGCAGGTTTTTATTTTTAGGCAGAGGTACTTAAAACAAGGTTTGGGAAGAGGGCAGGGAGGGAAAAGACAAGAGAGATAGGATTTATTTTTCTTATTTTGTATTTGTTTATCATGCTGGACACACATGTAGTTTTAATATGTTTAAATTTGTAGGTTATTTACTTTGAGGTATAATTTTGAATTCAAGAATACACATATGCATATACATTATAAATGATATTCTGCTAGTCATTAGTGTAAACTATGACCAGAGCATGAGTTTTGAACCTCTAATTAAAGATATTTTATTCCCCAAGCATATTTCTATATTCTTTCAGTGTGGACTAACAGAATAAACACAGCTTTGCAGAGTTGTGTAAATATCTCTATTCCATTATAGTTGGATGATGTAGTTCAGATAAATAACTAATGAAAATGAAACAAACAAGAGCCATGTAAAAAATATTTTAATTAAGAAACGAATGTGTCTGAATAAGCATTGTTATGGATTTGAGTACGTTGTACTGATACATTCTAAATGTTATGATATTATGATTTTGTTAACAGACCAACTACTTCAATATTTTCATATTTTTAAAGCATCAGTAGTTTTAACCCAACAAATGGCTAGACGTTCTAGCAGTGAACAAAAGAAAGAGTAAATTAAGATAGAGTATTTTGCAACTCACATGTTGCTCAGGGTCATGAGATCTGTTGCCTACCATATGGGAAGGAAAGGGCTCATCCCCTGTTACTTTTGTGGCCTGTTCCCTGCTGCTTCTGTTTTCTACTTTAGGGGAACCAAATATCCTGCTAGCATTTTGTCTTGTTAATATTCCACAACAGCACATTTGCTGGTCCACATAAACCTACCTAATAGGTCAAACTTCAGGGGATTCATCTTTCTGTACAGTGTGCAGAGGTATTATCCCTCATTGACACAGTATGGGTTTCTTGCGCAATATTGCTGTTTTTATAAATGTAAAGAGAGATATGTACACTTTAGGTCTTGTTATATTTTCTGGGTCTGATTTACAGAAAAACAGCTAAATAACCACAATAATAAATCTATCTAATGCAAAAGCATGTTTGAAATCACAGTATGTGGTTTGTTGTACAGTAAACTTTACCAAAAAGAGCTTTCTAAATGTCAGCTTTCATTGAAATACTGTGAAGAAATCCTTTGGGAGCTGTAAAAAATGTTGCATTATAAATAAATGTACAGGAAAGTACTTATAAATAATTTTAAAATTATGACCACTGCCAAACTGGTAGCGTGCTTGCAACTCTCTTGAGAACTGTGTTTTGGACAGTTGAGCTCTAACTTAATCAAAGATTTAACTGAAATTTTTTCCTATATGGAAGATTCACTGCTACTTCCAGCTCTTCAGAAAGCTGTTCACGGTTGTTGTTTTTGTTGGTTTTTTTTTTCAGTTTTGTTTTGTTCTAAGTTTAAAGAACACTTAAAAGTTTGGTTTGGATAAAACTAAGCAACCATCACAGAGCGCCTTAGGTCATCCAGGCCAGTTTCATCAGGGACAGTCTCTTGTTCATTTTGTACCATCAGAAGTGATCACACAAGCCTCCAAAAGTATGAGGATGCTTCCTGCTTTATCAGGGCTAAAATCAGGCATTATAACATCAGGTCCAGCCACCGTTCTGTTTAACAGAAAGCTCCCAGCTACAGGCCCTTTATCAGCATTCATTTCTGAATGTATTTTCTATTCAAATACATTTTTCAATGAGAGAATTCTTCTCTCAGCTGCTCGGAAGTTTGGCCAATATGGTATGCATACAGGTATACGTGTGTATATAAATTAACTATATGCAAGCTTAGCTAGGCTTTCTGGAATTTTGGCCTGTTCTGCCTTAAGTGTTGCTGTTGGGAACAATTGCTGAGCCTCCTTACATTAGTGAGAAGGGTGATCCAAGAGGAACAGCTTCGTAGAACAAAACAGATGGTACTGAGGACCTGATATTCACCCTATATGCATTTTGAAGGATTTCACTTCAGACTTGCTCTAGTTTAGTCCCAGGGATGGATTACCAATTATCAGTTTAAGCACTTTAAAGGTGATCCTGGAGCTCTTTTTCTCACTTTATTTTCATCTGGAAGGCATCCAGTTCATGAACTTCAAAACAGTTTGGTGGTTTGAAACAAAGATTGTTACTCAGAAACAATTAGTATACTCATTTTGAAAGTGTCATACTGATTGAAACTAAAATGCTAATATAGAGGAAACCAGAGAGACACCCGTACCCCAGTTTTCTTAAGCCTTTAATGTTAAGTTGTTTGAAGTTATATTAAAGGCTCAGCTGTAGCTTCCTTACACGAGATCTCACTACTTGCTAGCTTGGCGCACTACTCAGACGGGACATAGGTGGGACCACTGTATGAATTCTGAGTCTGCATCTGTGTTTATAATCAGTTAGATTCACAGAAATGTTAAATTTACTTGAACAAGGATAAATATATTCAAGTAAATATCAATGTATATTGTAATAGAGCTGTAATTTTAACAATGAATAGAAAACCATATTGAATTAATTTGCATCACAAATGTGTGGAATAAGTAAAGGAATAAAATAATAAAATCTACAACAGAGATGAACAGAATAACTAAGTAGTCTGGTAAAATAAAAAATCTATAAAGGACAAGTAGATAGTATTCCTGATTTTATTCTTGATATAGTCTGCATGGAGTGCTAGTTTTAGCTGGACTGATTTATAGTATGGCCTATCATATGATCAAATGAGTGAAAACCTTGGTTAACTGAAATCTATGACTAAAAAGAAAACTATAAGTGAAGCAACATCAATGAGGAGAGTAGACTTCGGCCTGTTTAGGGACTGACTTGGAAGATTCCTATTAGAGACAGTTCTGAAGAGAATTCCAGAAGAACTAGTTAATTTACACTGATTGCCTCTTGCAAGCTTCAGTGATCCATCACAATGAACAGGAAATCAAGAAAAGCAGGAGACCTGCATGGTTGAACAAGGTGCTTCTAACTAACCTGCAAACTGAAAAGGAGGTAGAAAAGAGCAGAGAGCAGATACAAGTGACCCGGGAGGAATACAGAGACACTATGGGATGTGCATGTAGGGATGGGGTTAGGCTAGTAAAAGCGCACCTGGAGTTGAATCTGGCAATATGAAAGACTAAAAGAAGAGCTTCTACAGGTATCTCAGCAGCAAAAGGAAGACTAGGGAAAACGTGGGCCCACTGCTAAATGGGGCAGGACCCCTCGTGACAAAGGACATGGGGAAGGCCAAGGTACTCTATGCCTTCTTTGCTTCAGTAATGTGGACTTGCTAAAAGATTTAAGAGATGACAGGAGTAATTCAAAGAAGGCTTGTGAACAGAAGATAAATGAATACACTGACACTTTACTGGCTAATTCTGCAATAATGTAAAAACATCTCCAAACACTCCTGCTCCATACCTCTACATACTTTAACAGTATATTAAAGCATCTTTCCTCCAGAGCATATCTTCACTTCTACTAGGAAAGGCAGTTTGTAAAAACGGAGCAGAGACAGCAAAGCAGCAATAGGAAGAAACCAGACTAACTAACACTGCCTCCTTTTCTGAATTTCTTTATGTTCCTAGAAACTAGCCCATCTGATAGAGCTGTTCTGTCTTGCAACAAATGTCTTCCAAGCCCCAAAGTAATTTTATATTGATGTAATATTATTTTTTCACTTTTGTTTCTTACGTCTTCCTAGCCACGTGATGATTCTCCTCCGCTTCTTTTCCCCTTGCCCAGTAGGTTTTGTGATGAGAGAAATACCTCAAAGCTGTGGAATCTGTTAGCTGTCTGCACTGTCGTATATCAAAATCTTACCGATCAGCTTGGTATATCATGTACCTCTTCCGCTACAACTGATGTTCTTATAAACCTCTTAAAAGCACACGTTCCTATGCCTAATGTCTTTCCCTCAGTTGTCCCTACTTGTTGACTCCACACTCCTTTTCCTCCTCATATTCGTAATGTTCTCATCTGTTCCGTAGTGCCTATCTTTTTTTTTTATTGTATTATTCCTCTATGACAGATAAAAATTTAACTGAAAAAAAATTATGTGAATTACCATTAAAGCTGCGGATTTCATAGCTTATTTCCTTCCTTCCCCGTCCTTATCCTCTGCTGATTCTTTCTTTTGTTTTGCTTTCTGTCATATTATTATAGTTATATGTAATGAAACTTTTTGGGGCAGGGATTATGGCTAATTTTTCTGTTTGTATAATATCTTAGAGTACTGACAGATTAAATAACAATATCTAGGGTAGGCAAGGTAGCTTAAGAGAGGAAAATAAATTTCAGGAAAATATGATTGCCTTCATAGAGCATTTGCTCAGAAAGAGAACTGCTTTTGTTTTATCACCAAAGTATAATGATAGATCTCCCACTAACTTTAATATATGAAGGTCACAGAGTAGAATTTATTTTAGAGTTTAAAGTTCTTGAGATGTGTTCTCCCTAACCCCTTCCATAAAAATCCCCTTTTTCATTTTGAAGAGCTGCAATGGATTTGATTTTAATTTTAAGCATAAATTGAAATGGTAGAAGAAGTGTTTTTGCAGCGATTTTGAAAAAGAAGACTTTTTAATACCTCAGCAGAATGACCTGCACTTCATTGGGTCCTAATCTTTGTTCTGCCTATCTTAAAAAATAGTAGAAAAAATAAAATTTGTTTATAAAAGCCTCTGCAAACGATAATTTAAAATTTCAAATAAATATTAAGAAATCAGAAAAAAATAGTGCAGATCATTTTCTTCTCTGCCATAAATCAAAGTGAATCCACTGAAGTCAATGGAATTATGACAAATTTGGATAACTGAGAATCCTTAAGCGAAACTGAAGCTCAGATAGGAAACATCAGCAGTAAGGTCACAAATCCATTTGAATGATAAATTTATTGCTAATAGCATTTAAGTCGATAGGCAGATTTTTCAGAAATTTATTGTTTCCAAGGAAAATAATGTTATATCATTATATTTTGCTTCATCACTAATTATGAACCAATATTTCTCGACCATGAAAACCTGAGAAGGATAGTTTTGCTTAAGATGCAAGCTGGACTTCTATTTTACACTGCCTTCATATACTGCATGGTAAGCACATTCCCTCCAACAATTATTTTAAAGATTAAAAAAACAGACAAATTTGAAAGACTATACTTCATTTATCATATTAAGCTCATTTTTTGCAATTTCCTTACTTACAGATGAAATTTATCAGGGTATCTTTGAAGTGAGAGATTAGTGGACAGGAAAAAAGATAGAAAGAGAAAATTAGAAAGATTCCATAAGATAAGATGAGGAATTGCTGGTCTGGACAAGACGGGTCAATGAGGACTTTGCCTTAAGTATTTACAATAAAAGGAAAAAATAAGAGAGGAAAAGCACAAAGAAGAAAATTTTAACATCAAATAATCACAACACAGAAGTTTTTTTTTTTGTGCATAAGCACAATGAAAAAGTCTGATGGTATAGCTCTATTTCATGGCTGGCTTGATTTTAAGTAGGTCATTTTAGGAACACTTAAAATAGGATAAAATGAAAGGAATTTTCTTAAATATTTCAGACATACAGAACTGCTTTTCAACCACGGAATGGGTGATCAACACACCAAATGTGGCAATTTTGATATTCTTGCTTCATTCCTACAGAGCATATACTCATGCAGTTGATATTGCTCACAAGTGTTTTGTTGGAATCTGGTCCCCTTTCTTTTCTGTAATTCATTTGAGATTCTAAGACTGAAAGGAAGTCGTGCGCTATCAAATGATCTGTTAGCTGAAACACCACCACGGCTTGCTTGTGACTATATTTAGCCTACAGTAGTGTCTTCTGATATTTATTTTGGCCCGCCTTGTTTCTCTGCCCCCTCCACCCCCAATTCCTATACCCCAGCTGATGCCTTTTCACTCCTGGTGAGCAGCTGGCAGCACTGACTCCTGCTATGCCATGAGAGTACCTGACTCTGCTCTTTGCCATATATCTCCCTAGGTATATGAATACCTCACTGCTGACGCACACTTCAGTAGTTGGAAACCACTGACACAGAATATAGATATATATGCACCTTCCATTTATGAGCGTACTCTGATGCTTCAGGCTCCTCAGACGCAAGTCTGCATTGAGCCAAGGTGCACGTTTCACCATTGCAGGGCCTTGGAGCTTGCCAGCTTGTGGTGCAAGGCTGTCCCTGATCTGACTGGCTCATAGTGTGGGAGGAAGGTATTTCCCTACTCCTGAAAGACCATGGAGACTCATTCCTTTTAAGCCATATATACTTTCTAAGCTTCTGACTGATGAGCCACTTACACCATCCTTAAGTAACTAGTGCCAGTTACTCTTCATGCTCCGTGTTCCATATATAGAATGATATAGTTAAATACGCACACACACTCTTGCACATACACACCCACGCACACACTCAGACCTATATATATGTAGATAAAAATATAGAACATACATTAGCACCTCAAAAAATCTGCTCACAGGGTAAATGCAGATGACAGTCATTACTGAAAGAATACTGTTTTGTAAAACACTTGTAGTTTTATTTCTCCTTTTTTTCCCCTCCTTGGCTCTCTTTATTTCTGCTTTATTTTGCGCTCACCTCCAAATCCTTCCCTTTTTTGAGTCTGTCTTCCACATCTTTTCACTCTACTCTCAATTTCCTTATTCTGTTCCCTGTTCATAACTTTTACGACCCCACCTCTCTGCCAAACCCAGGCTGTTCGTGCCAGTGCTGCCTCTGCAGAGACTAACAGAGTAATCTCTCTGCCTCCAAGCAAGACACTAAATGTTTTCTGCTCTAGAATGCTAGAAGACTGACAAAAAGTACTGTGAGAGACATTTTCCAGTATTGTAGCCAAACTTAATAACCATTGCAAGGTTTAGTGTGAGACCTGAGTTTTAAAGCAGTCTGAAAAATCAAGTTTTGAAACAGTGAATGGCAGTATTACATAAAACCCAGACTTGGTATAGACACATCTTTGGCACAGGTAGGGGTTTGCTATTCTTACCTTCAAGTCATTTACCAAGCCTAGGAGAGTTAGTATGGTGCATTTTAGTACTCCAGAAATATTTAAATACAAAGAGATCACAAAATGATGTTCAATTGTATAGAATACTGACTGATAATGAGACAGATTAGTTCATGTTATTAAAAAAAAATGTTATGTTTTCATTACAAGATAACTGTGAGTACTTAGCCTACTGTACATTTTTGGAATCTACTTTCAAATGTCAAGATTCACTATAAAATATTTACACAAACCAATGTGCTGTTGTCAAAATTTATTTAAAACTTTGTGTTAAAAAAAAAGAGAGAAAGCTGAGTTTTTCAGGTGCCATACAAATGACTACTATATGGGAATCTAGATAAAACAGATTGGAAGATTTACAATATTATCAACACCCTTTCCTCCCATGTTTCTTTTAAATTTCTGATAATACCTGCTCTTTTGACATAATCTCTTAAAATTCATTTTATTTTATTTGCATTCTTTTCTTTTTCAGTGCATACTCCTATCTCCAGTTCTTATTGGTATGTTCTTATTGTTATCATATTTTACTGTCTGGGAGTACTGCATCTCGAGAACCTAGATCTTAGAGGTCATTTCTTATTTTGTACTAGGACATATATTATTGTTTAAAAATTATTGTTGTCACTTGAACCATGCTGCTTTAAGAAGTCAGACTGCCAAGTCTGTATGTTCAAAATATCCATGTTGGCCTGAACATATTCCCTGAAAGTGAGTGGTGAAACTCCTGTTCATATCAGTGAAAATAAGATCAGACTAGATGCTTTTAGAAATAACTGAAACTCTTTAGACAGAGCTAATCTTGTTTTAAAGAAGAAGAAAAGTTATTGATATTGCAGCTATGAAATAGTTTCATTTTAACAATGCTGGCAAGTCTCCTTATTAGCAAATTTCTGACTGCAAACTCATGCTCAAAATGTACAAGGGCTTGAAACATTTATTTGTGGTATTCAACAAATAAGTTCCGCTTTTTTACATCAAAAATTTGTTCTGTTATCTTATACTGCCCTTATTTTTGTAAATCCATCTGAAAAAGTCAAAATTAAGTTCTTTTTGAATTTCCTTAGACAATTTTTAATTCTATGTAATCCACACTGAAACCACAGTAATTGTGCTCTAGGCATTTTAGTAAAATGTGCTTCATATGTTTCCTAAAGAATCTATTAATTTGAATGAATAACTTCTTTCAGCTACAGATTTTCAAGATTTTTTTTTTTTTTTACTAAAATTCAATCACACAGTGGCATCCAGTGGGAAATGTAGATGTGCGTTCCCAAGAGGCGTAGCTATTGACATATGTATCAGCTACGCTCATTTTATCAAGGGACGAATGCTAATATTCTATGAAAAATCTAAAATATTTTTCTAACTTGTAATAAGTTACAGTATGACAGACTTATTAAGCTAGTTCAATCTTTGCAGCTCCAGCTAGAACATGACTTCAGTCTATCTCTGCTTTCTTTAGTTTTGCTGGGCTGTTTTCTTTTCACAATTTAAATCATTATCAGTTGCTAACAGTTGCTTCTGCTACTGCTATCTTCCCTGAACAAAAGGTACATTATTGATACAACCTACTCATGTGATGATGAGAAATACAGGTAATTAATGCCCTTGAAACCTAATTTATCGTGGACTGAAGGTACACACATACATCGTGTCTCACTTAAGTTATATTCAGGACCATTTAACTGTAAAAATTATTAAGAGTTAACACTTTAAAATAAATAAAAAATAAAATCTTCCAGAATTCTACAGCAGAAGAGGCAATTAAAACATAAAATATCTGAGAAACATTAATCTTTCTAGGCTCAGGTCCTTCAAACTTGCTTTATATATGCATACATTTTTCCCCCCCCGCAAGAGGATTTCCGCTTGTAGGAAGCTCTCTACTACTAAATATTAATCTAATCAGACCATGGCATTATGCATAAATTAACTGAGAAAATAATATATTTAAAAGAAGTTATGTGACGGTTTTTAATTTTTAGATATCCAAACAGAGTTTTGCCAGTTTCCGGTTGAAACTGAAATAGCCCCAGTGTTGTGTCCAACCTGCATAGGGAATTATGGCTACTGCGTATCTAGAAGGTAGATTTCTTAGCCTTGGTTTACATCTGTAAGAAGCCAGGGCTTGTCTGAGGTTAATCTAGGGAACGCCCGTTTGGTATCGGTACACACTCTATTTCCCTAAAGGAATTTATACATGACAGTAAAATAAGGGAATCCATTGCCACTATACTTATGGACAATAAAGACATTTTATTTTGCCAGAGAGGAACTCAGTTTGCTGCCAAGAAGAGATAGAGGCTAGTGGTAGATGAGGACAGAGAGGTAAATATGCATGCATAATTGCAGTCTTTATCAATTAGTGCAAATTTTAGTGGTATCTAATTCTTATTCCTCTTGTAGAGGACTCAGTGGATTGGTTTTCCTAGAGATTTACTGGAGATAAGTAGAAGGTCCAGTCAGTAATATGAATTCACGAAAAAATTGTCATTGAAAAGAAAAGCATGTGAGGAATGAGTTTTAAATGGAGAAAATCAGTTAATACAGTCTGTTCTGTAAAGCAACACTGATAGATAAATATATGATTACTTTAGCAATAGAAAT